CGGACTGACTAATAGCTTCTGATAACTGTGATGAAATGCGAAATCTTATCAGATAATTCGGTGCCCAGTGATCCTCATAGCAAATATGTATGTATGAATTTTCTGGTAGCAACATTTAAACGTGGCAGTTGCCACCAACTGTTGTGGACAGTCATGGGGCTTGTGCCTTATCGTCGTCAGCGGCAATTATTTGGCTATAAATAACAATAAAAGTTTTTGGCCGTAAATGCGGGCAGCTCTTATCATGCACATCATCAACATCATTATCATACTCATTGTCATCGTCATCGTCATCACAATGAGTCTTGCTTTCAGCTGTTTAACGGTGAAAGCCGCTCAAGCATAGCCCTGACCCCCTGAGAGACGCAACAAGACGCAACAAGACGCCGCCAAGATGACCCCACCCAACATCATGCAACATGGAAAATAACCAAGTCTGGTTCATGTTCGCTTTTCCGAGCGCCTTGAATTCCATTCTAAGGTCGCGTTCGCATTCGCGTTCGCATTTAATGTTAATTTCGTTTACAAAGAAAACAAAACAAAAAGGAAAAAAGAGTTGAATAATATAAATAATACACAAAAAACCAAAAAAAAAAACAAGTTTCCGATCAGGGCTGCTGCTGGGCACATTTGTTTTGTTATTTTCGTATTTGTTGTTTTTTTTGTTTTGTGTTTGTTCATATTTCATGTTGGCTTATGCAATATTGTCGGGAGAGTCCCTAAAGGGCATCGTAAGCTGCTGCCAATAATGATTGGCAAATGTGTCACCATGTTTTCCTACAAGCAACAATTTCCTCATTTCGCAGGGTATCTTCTAATGGCAACCAATTACGATATTCTTGTATGATTTGCGCTGATAAGGCTAAATGGTTTGGACATCTATTGACAGGTTTAAGTGCCAAATTCAAGTATATTAAGCTGATGCTCGTATATATGCCAGTATCTCTGTCTGCTCATCAAACTAATGCGTCATTCAATTTGTATGTGTATAGATATAATTTTGTAGATTTTTGTTTTATTTTTTGACATGCAAATTAGGTGTCTGGCGTCTTTATAATTTCATTTCATTGATTTCCTTTTTTAAGACATGCGCGGCAACGATTATTAAACGTCGATCAGGTTGTTGTTCGATGATGTTGTTTAAGACATATATCTGCGTGCCTGTCTATCGGCAACATTTTGGCTGTTAATGAAGTGATAACATGCGAGTAAACTAGCTACAACAAGAAAAGAAACAAAACTCTACCGGGCCGCTCCAGTTTGAGCTGTTTTCATTACCTGCTAGCCCAGCAAGTGCGCATAAATTATTTGCAAATTGTGTTATCGGGCATGTTTCAATATTTGCGCGCTTGTTTGGCACCTGCCGTACCAAAGACACCGGAGAGACAGACAAACAGACACTGAGACATAGGCGCAGGCGTAGCACATGGCGTATGAGTAATAAAGTCAATCTGTCAACAGCTCATCAGCAGCAGCAACAGCGGCAGCATCAGCGTAACTGGCGGCATTGTGTAAACGATTCCGATGATAACAAGCACAACAATCAGACGGAGAGACATGCAGCGAAATTATTATCAACATTTTGTTGCTGTGGATGCGACAACAGCAACAGCAACAGCAACAACAATAGCAATCACACGTCATCGGCCACAAACAGTTGAAAGGAGTCGTCAACGTTGTCATCATCAAGAAATTGCGCAAAATGTGCACAAAAATTAATAATAATAACAAACAATGGTAAGTAATAAAAACAACAAAGGTTATTTTGAGCAAAAAGGGCGAAAGTTTTTCTTTGTATACAATACATTTAACGACAATCACAAATTACTCGAAAGAAATTTGCATACGATAAATAAATGGTAATACTTGAGATTGCATGACCGAATTCAAATAGATCGTATATATATATATATTTATATATAAATATGCATTTATGAATGTTGTTGGTATCTAATTAAAATATATACACATTGCCAAGAATGTAAAATTATAATTTGAAAAGTATATTTTTGAAAAGAATGAAAATAAAGAGATAATTTGCAGCCTAACTTTATAAGCAAAAAGATAGCCGACTAAGAGATAAACTATTCGAATTCTCCAAAGCAGAACAAAGAATCTTGATAAACAATTATATTGGACGAAGAGTATAATTACTCATACTATATAATATATAATGTATATGGTGTGGAAACGGAATCCTTTTATCTGTTAGCCACATTTCCATTAGGTTTTTTGTGCAAAGTTTGCGTTTGCATAAATCTTTACTGAGATTAAACAAGCTAAATATTAGCAGATGAAATATTAATAGAGCTTAACCAGATGTTACACAACACTGCTTACTTACTCACAATAATTTTAAGTAATTTTGCTTTCTTATTTTTGGTATTCTTGTTTGTATACTTGATTTCAACGTGGTTTTTACTTCTTTTTGTTTTTTTTTTCTTTTTGGCTTAAGTAAGTTGAACATTTTTGTGTTAAATAATTTGCCCATTGGACTTTAGTTAAGTTTTGCTGGCGTACAATAATAATAATAATAATAATAAAAGGAGGAAATTAATTATTTGTAAATATATTGATTAAATTTTATGCTGCCAAATAAAATTGCAGTGAGCGGAAACAAACAAAACAAAAAAAAGAAAAGAAAAAAACAATCATAAATAATAATAAATAAGATATGGCAAATATTTTACAATATATTATATATTATATAATATATACAATATATTTTTAGTGATTCTTTAAAAAGTACTTGAAATTATATTTTCCCAGTGAGATTTTCGAGTTTATCGAGGAAATATGATAATGAAAATGGGCTTTGTGTATCGAGTGCGAATGCTGCAGTCGACGCTGCGTTAACGTCGCTGTTGGCGTCGTTGCTGCTATAAATAATTAAAAAGTTTGTGAACGCGTCAAAAGTTTTGTTTGCCTGTGTTGTTTTGTATCTGTGTCCGAGTATCTCGAACTGTCAGCAAGTATCTGCAATTATGTTTGTTTGTGTGCGTCCGTATGCGTTTGTGTGTATTGTGTGTGTTTATGTGTGTGTATTTGTGTGTATGTGTGTGTGTGTGTGTTTGTGTGTTTGTGTTTGGCGACTTTTGCGGAAGTGCATTGTGCATTGATTTTCCATTCAAATAAGCACTTGAGTCAAGTAGAAACACTTTTCTCACCTTTTCGTCTCTCTCCAAAAAATGCTAATTAGTTTTTTTTTATATATTTTTGTTTTGTTTTTTGTGTTTTTTGTTTTTGCTTTCTGTTTGCAGTTCGCAGTTGTAACTACATTTAATTAGAACTTTATGTGCTTTGAGGTGATTTGTTATCGTAAGAGCATTTATGCAAATTGTCTTGGAAGTGAACAATTTACAGCGGCGGAAATCCGCTAGCAGCTTCACAAGCACATACCTGACAAATAAAAAATGAGATATATACATATATCTACGTATGTATATACATATATATTTAACGGACTTTGAGTTTTGTATGGCTTTTGGGCGCATCTTCATGCAAAACGTCAACAACACAAAAAAATAACCAAATCGAAAACTAAAACTGGTAAACTGGAACTTCGTGAGTAGTGAAAGTTTTCTATGCTGTTTTTTTTATTTTTATTTTTGAGCTGTTTTAGCCTAAGCAGGCGCTGCTGAATGGTAAGGTGGTAAGGTGGTAAGGGGTGTGGGCATGGGGGATGGCTGGGGCGTTGCGTGAAGACTCTCTGCCTATGCGTAGGCATTGAAAAACTGCGCATGTGCGTTGAGCGCTTAAATAACCAGACGCTCCATGCAGCCGCGCATGCCAACGACAAACAGCTAAATCAACAGCGGACGTATCCATAAGATACTCGGACTCGGACTCAGACTCGGAATCGCACTAACATTCGCATTCGCATTCGCATTCGCACTTGTATTCGAATTCGAATTCGAACACTAGCTGTTTGCTGATTGCTGCTCCATTGAACGTCACATGGCCGCATTTGGGCAATGGGCTATCGATTGGGCAGCGTTAAGAGCTGCTCTGCCAGGCGTTGGCTCGTTAATTGCAAAACAATTAAAAACGCTGCTGCGACAGCTGCTGTACACCTTTTTGCCAACTGCCTGGCTGCCTGGCTGCCTGCCCCTGTCGTGCCCCGGACACCCTCTCTCAGAGACCGATATGCTTCTTTCAATATTCTTTTTGTGTGTTTTATTAGTCAAGTGTGGACTGCCAAACCCGGCGTCAAAGCGACAAACTGCCCAGATGTCAATTACTCGCATCTCTCTCCCTCCCTCCCTCCCTCTCTCTATCTCTCTCGCTCTGTCGGTGAGTCGACTCAACTCGAATCGACGCTATTGGAAGAGTGCCCGAAATTGTCAATCGAGTATATGTTTTAGGGCGCTTCGAATATTTCGTATTTTGTTTTGTCAGGTAGTTAAATTTGCATTTGGTTAAGCAATGCAATTGTTTTTCTTATTGTTGTGGTTGGGTTTTATGGGTTTTTGCGCTTATGACATGCACTGCACTCACTGCACATCTAAATGCACATATCTGTCTAGATATGTCTTCTGTGCTGGGGTATTCTGTTTCTGGTTTCATTAGAACTGTTTGATAATATAAGTATATATATTCTGTTTCGTAGGTGAGACGTTGTTAATTATCTACGACACACAATGTGCACATTGCAATATGTATTTGATTATAATGCTTATTGTTATTATTTGTGCTTTGCGTCATTTCGGTTTCGTTGCTTGTTCGGTTTTTTTTTTTTCACGTGCCTCTAGCGTTATGCACTGAAAGTCCACTCTTATACAAAAATCATCAGCTCGTTCTTATCTTATACTGTTGGCATTTTGTCAGCTGCCGCTGCTGATTTGATTTGAGTTATGTTAACGCTGAACGATAATGTTATGGCGGCATCTGACTCTTATAATGCATCCGACTCTTATATTGCTCACAACTTATCCTTCCTAGACCACGACCACAAAATGTGCCAAAAATAAATACAATTTCAATTCAAGTGCGCCACTTACCGTCTTCACAACCCTTATACGTCGGCAAGAGAGCAAGTCTCAGTCTCTCTGTGTGTTTGCGTGTGTGTTTGTGTGTGTGTGTGCGTACGCGCGAAAAGCTCAAACAGGATGCGCCGCTTTGAGCGAAACGAAAAAAAAAAAAAAATCACTTCCGTCTTGATTTTGATTCGGATTTTATGTTATTTTTGATTATGGTTATTTATTGTTTTCAATCGTTATGGTAATTTCAAATAAACACTTTTGAACTTGCAGTTAAATATTATGTAATGTTTTAATTTCTCTTCCTTTTTTTTTTGCGGTTTTGCGATGTCAATGGAAAGATCGGGGGGAAAAAATTGTTCTTAATTTACAGGAAGCGAGGCTTGGTTGGCGGGGGCGAGTAGTTTACATTTCCGTTAAATTTTTTAAGTGTTCAAACGCAAAAAAATATGTTTTGTAATCAATTAAATTCAAGTGTTTCTCTGTATGAAGGCTTCGCCAATGTAATATATATCGTTCAGGACGTTTATTTCGTTTTGAATTGTTCCTCCAAAGTTGAGCAAAAAAAAAAAAAACCGAAAATATATTTTATATATTATTTATTTTTTTTAATGTGAGCCAGGCTTTATTATTTTTAATTTTCACAGCCGCAGAATTAAACTTTGTCTGTTTTTGTCTACTAGATTTAAAAAAAAAAGTTATATATATATTTTTTTTTTTGGTAACAAAAAACACGACCAACTCGAAAACGCACTAAAACGGTATTAAAAGCCGAGACTAAATTTTACTTTGCAAGTAATTTACAATGAGACTGGAAGCGGCGTGTGAGCCGATCGCTTAGCAGAGAGACACGAGCGCGACACGAGTGCGAGCCGAGAGAGCGATGATTTCGTTTCGTTTTGAGTTCACTTCACTTTTGCACTTGTTGTTGTTGCTGCTGCTGCTGCTGCGGCTGCTGCTTCAACTGCCTGTCGGGGGTGTGGGAGCGCTGTTGTGGCTGCTGCTGCTGCGTTGGAGATGCGGCCGGATAACTGACGCTCGCTGACAACGGACCCAACAACAACAAAAAAAAAAAGAAAGAAAAACAGCTGCTCGTTATCGAGTAGATCGTTGCTCGCTGTTGCTGTTGCTGTTGCTGTTCGTGTGGAGCGTGCTTGAAGCGTGTGTAAGTGTATGTGTGTGTGGAGCGACGACTACGGCAGCTGTTGTTGGCGTTCGGCTTGGGAATGATGTTGGCTCAAAGCCAGCCGCAACGTAATATACGCTCAGATCCTGTTTGCACGCCGTCGACGGCGGCGTCGCAGCGCTGCTGTTGTGCTGCTGTTGCCGCTGCGCCGGCGCCAAGAGAACGAAAAGTGTGTGTGTGTGAGAGGGAGAGAGAGAGAGAGACAGATTGAAAGAGAGAATGGGCGCTAATAAAGCGCAGCTTTTTTTGTTGTTGTTTTTTTTTTCGGCTCTATTTGTCCAGAGTGTGGGTGAGCATTGCGGTGCGTCGACGCTGCTGCTGACGCTGGCTGCGCAGAATCGTTGTCGCTTCGAACTCGCATCAAACTTGCTCGATGCTGTTGCTGTTGTTGTTGTTGCGCTGGCGTTTGTTGCCTGCCTGCCTGCCTGGCTGTAGCTTAACGGTTTTCGGTGTGAGGGTTAAGGTGAGGCGGGTGTATTCATATTTCAGCCAATCGCACGAGCAGCGCTTTTCAACTTTCATTAGAAATTTAGCGGCTGAGCGCCACTCAGTCACGCCTACCTCACACACACACATATATAAATATATATGTGTGTGTGTGCTCCTTGCCCGATCTTGACGCTGGCGCTCTGCCTTCGGGTCAGTCTTGCCACTGTCGCTTACCATCTATTAAGTCAATAATTGCTAATAATTGGCGTTAATGAAAAACCATTTTTGCTTGCCGCGATTGATAAATCTTTAATCGCTAGTTCTCTCTCTCTCTCTCTCACTCTGTCTGCCCGAACTGCTAGCCAATAAAAATACAACAAAAGAAAACATACGTACAACAATAACAACTTTAATATCCAGTTATTGTTTTGCTTCAGTTTTTTAATTTATTAATTATTTATTTGTTTGTTAGCTTAAGGAACCGATGTCGTCGTCGCTGTCAGTTTTGGCTCCGGTCTCCGTCATCTTTTGCCATCGTCGTCATCAGCAAACGTCACGAGAATTCAAAGCGCAGCTACAAGTATTGAATATATATTCTCTATATCTATATCAATATCAATATCCAAGGGCGTACATCCAGGGGTGGTTGGTGTTGGGGGGGGGGGGGGGGGGGGATGAGTGGGTGGAACATCGTCACTTGACATACAAAATTAGCTACAGGGTATTTTGAATTTTTGATTTGTTTTTATACAAAATGTTCAACATTGAAAAATACGTACAGAAATTTATAACAGGCCCACACTTTGCGAAAAGTACGTTACGCCCCTGTCTATATCCATATAGTATATGTATCGTATGTACATATCTACCATATCTGTAGCCCATTATTTGTTTCTTTTTTTTTTTGTGCTTCGTTACTCTTATAAACAGACTTCGACCAGTTGCCGCTGAAGCGTCAGCTGTGCTAAATTATATATATTTATATATATTTATATATATACTCGTATATATATGTGTGTGTGTGTGTGTGTGTGTGCCGAGGCACTGACATTCTTTTTTATGTTTCCTTCTTTTCATTTGACTATTTTTAGGTTGTGATACTCGATGCATTTTTGCATCGAAAGCATCGAAAGCATCGAACGCATGACTAACACGTCTTATACTTTATAACATTTTCGCACTGTTGACAATGGCAGTCCTCTTATATTCTTATAAATCGGATGTACTCGATTCGATTTTAGAGGTGTTATCAAGTACTTTTGCGGGCCATTGCCATTGCTCTTATATGCGATTCTCAATTGAGATACTTTCAATTTTATTTAGTTTCATACAGTGAGTTAATTATAAGCATAATTAAACAAATGCTCTCTGCTTATATTTTCACTCTGCTCTTCTCGCAGCTCTTTTGTAATTCCGCTTAGATATTTATAGTTTGCATGTAAATTGTACATTTATTTTCCGTCTATTGACATTGGTATAGCCTGTCCCTTACATCATCCCACATTAATTAAAGTAATTCAACAACGCACTTTATGATATATTGTTGTCAATAAAATATATACTATACACAAATATCTAAATATACATAATATTCGTATATCCGCACTGGGAATGAGTCTACTAATTGTTTATTTATTTATAAGACAGCTGGTGCGAATCACTTAACAAGCCATCAATTAAATGTACAACAAAAAAAAGGAGCACATTTTTGCCAAAAACCATCCCAGTTGCTTATCCGGAATGCAGCTATGAACCCCAGATCCCGAGATTCCCAGATTCTGAGATTGCTGATCAAAGCAAGCTAAGTCGACGCTTTCACACTTACCTCACTCAATCAAAATAGTCATGTGTCTATAATGCCTAATGCAATAATTTGCAATCCACTAGCTGTAGCTGATGCACACATGATAAATCTTACTAGACGCATAATAATCAAAAAAAAGCTAATCATTTTTACGATTTATTTGCTGTTGTTGCTGCCAGTTGCCCAATTTATATAGCGAATATTTATATATACGATAATACTTTTCTGATTCTACATAGATTTCTACATGCATTCAGAGTGAGCCATACACTTTTATCTTTATTACAGTAATTACAGGGCATATGCGAGTCGATTAGGAGTTTATCGCGGGCTTACAGGTCGCATTTACCACATATGTACATACATATGTACAGGCATACTTACATGCGTACATATGTAAACAGTTTTGTGTACATGCATAAATCATTGTTATGGTAATTCCATGATCTCGACAGTTACGGCAATATGGGTCAATTGATATATAACCAACTTACGCTGCTGCTGCTGCTTCTGCTGCTGCTGCTGCTGCACTGCCACCGATTCTGTTTTTGTCTCTGCCTCTGCCACTGCCTCAGTCGCTGTCAGCGTCGAAGTTGTCACAGTTGTCGCCGTCGCCGTCGTCTGTTTACCTTAGCACCCAACTTGAATTTTTAATAACCTTTTCAAGTTCACTGTTAGCCATGCGCTTGTGTGTGTGTGTGTGTGTGTGTGCCTGATAGCTGTACTGTCAACTTTAACGCTAGCTGTCAGCAGCAACGCCTGGCTATCAGTTTAGGCCCAGTTTACTTGAGGCAAGTGTGGGGATTGTTTATTAACTTAGCGCCAGCTCTACATGCAAGGGCGTGTTACATACAGAACAGTTACACACACTAACGCACACCCACACACACACACACACACACACACACACACACACACACACTCATACACACATTGACTTAATTTTGTCAATAAGCAGTGAACGGCTTTCCGTCTAAATTCATTGACAACTCAAAAACGATGCCCAAAAACAGTGGCAATTTTTCAATTTGATCATCTTATTTAACTATTGCATACGCACAATATATATGTATATATAATTTGATCAATTAATACGGGAGAATAAGATCGACAGTCAAGGCTGTCATCCAAATAGGCGCAGCTAATTAACACTTGACCAGCTTTCAGCATTCAGCTTTCATCCTCCATTTTCTGCTGCATGCCGGAAAATGTTGGTTTGTATCGGATAAGTCTAATCTAAGCCACAATGAAAAGCCAAAGAAATCGGAGTAAAAATGTGTGAAATAAATGGACACGCTTTAGGTAAAGTTCGAGTCAATCTCTTGGTTTGCGCAAGTCAAAGTTCACCGGACAATTCTGCATCCAAACTGACCTTTAATGTTGACCAACTAACCCCTGCCCAAATTCTCCTTGTTCTTATTTTCCCTAGCTTATTACACAAATATAAATTTGAATTTCCAAAATATCGGCAAAGGATCTACGTACAAATGAGATATAATGAAATTCCGGGTGTCCATTTTAGACTAGTAGAGTAAGCAAATATAATTATATAGTCCAAGTTTTATTGAAGTAAAATGATAAAAATAAATTGGCATAATCAAAAAAAAAAGTTGAATAAACAAACTTGATTAATTTCTTAATTAATCAATTAAATATTTGATGTACATATATATGTAAAAAGAATACGGATTTATATTTTTTTATTTTATTTATACTAATTTTTATACTTGTGCTTAACTTTCAAATAAAATAAAATAAAACATTTTTAAAAAAATAAGAAGTCTTAAAGCCAATAAATTTTACTCTTTTTTTCTATTAATAAAAGAAATATAATTAACATAAAAATAATAAATTGTTAGTATTAGTATTGGAAAACTTTGAAGCATTAATTATTAACAAATTTTATGATTTATCTACTTAAAAATGTATAGTTACAGCATAGAGAAGAAATAGTATAAGTTAAATAAATAAATATATAAATTAATCAGAATAATATTATGTATTATTTATTAGGAAAGAAATCACATGCACTGATGGAAATTTTTCGAAATTAGAATCAATTTGAATATTCCAAAACTAATCCATACCATAATCTATTCGACTGTTCTTATCTGAAAGTTGCTGCCCCATTTCACCAGCAACTTAGTCAAATCGAAAGCTGTTAACTTGGACAGTTTGGACAGCCATCAAGCCCTACCCATCATGAGCAGGTTAGCCAAGAAAACGGTAAAATGAGTCTAGACTCTAAACTACCAGCATAGCAAAAGAGTGCTTGCTGCTGATTAAGTCAGCCAGTGTGGAGGGGGAGAGAGGTCGATGGAATAGTCTTATCGCAGTCGGTATCAGCAGTCAATTCGGCCCGCTTTGAATCATTAGCCAGTCGAAGCAGAGCCATCAATCTTTCAATTGCTTTCTGCTTTGGCTTTGGCTATGGCTATGGCTTTGGCTGTGGCTTTGGCTTTGGCTCTGCTGACTTTGGATTTGGCTTTGTACCTATGACAAGCTGGGATAGCGCCACCAGCGGCGGCGACACCAACACCAACACCAACAATAACAACAACAACAACAACAACAACAATATAAAAACCGGCAAGCGGCCGTTAGCAGTGAATGCGATTAAACGGCTTGAAACCACTTTGGGCCAGTTCAAACTAGAATCGCTGAACGGCATCGGAACGTGAAGTTGCGCAGCAGCGGCGCATTAAACGATTTCTGACTGCTTGTCGATTGAGTCCCGGCCAAACTAACAGCAATATGCGATAAAGGGGCGGTGAACAGAAACAGATATCACCATCATTATCATCAT